TTCAACGTGATAGATGTGAAATAAATAAATGTAAATTATTAAGCATATATAAGATGATGGTATATGCAAATTATTTGATATACAATCAATATCTTGCAAATCTAAAAGCCACACAAATTGCAGGATGATCACAAAATTCAAGAAATAGAAATTGTAATGCAAGTTTAGTGAGTCTGTGAAAGAAATTATTCATGTTCATCTCAGATGATTATTTGATAATAACGTTGCTTATTTGCAGCGAAAGTTTTTTCTAATTTCTGTTACACAATTGAACCTTCATAAGTGTCAATGTTACAGTACTTGGACACAATAGGACTGTTGTCTTAAGCGAGAGTTTTTTTGTTAGTATCATTTATCACTCTATCTTATAAATTCTTGATAATATATATAATGATTATTCTATCTCAATCACAAGCTTATTTGCACATACACTTGTTTCTTGAGTCACCCATTTGCTAAGGAAATTTTGCCCTCTGCTGGTGAGACATTTCCAAGTGATTGCTTGTGCAAAATTTTGCCATGGGGACTTAAAATAAACTCTCTTCAAAAACACATGAAAACATTCCTGTATTTCGCCTCAGTGCTTTTAACAATTTGTTTCTCTTCAGTCATTTTCTTTGTTATAAAACATAATGCAACTGGTTTCACGGAAAGTGAAAATGAAGGAAGTCTTTTTCATTAGCCATAATACATGACTGCCATCTGTAGATTTGTCCAATCATATTTGGCACAAATTTCATTTGCAAAATTGTGTGCTTTTTAATGTTTGGTTCAACGTCTTAGTTTTCCCATGATGTAACAAATAAACCAATTTAAAAGTTGCACGATTGTCAAGTAGAGATAAAACATTATTGAAAATGGTGACAAAATTCATCATATACAGTACATGTTATATAAATAACATTCTTATCCAAAAATATTTACCATTTACATTCACATTAACACAGGTTAAAGAAAGGAAAAGTACTCCGGAAGGAGGCTGATGTCAAGGAGGTTAAACAGAATATACATCTTATTAAATCACCAGCAGGTATGTACAACTTTAATTTCCTTCAATATAAATATAGAAAGTGGATTGCGTTCGTCAAGCGAAGCTTATCATATGAGTGATTGTCCTTCGTTGTCGCCATCTGCATTAACTTTTTTACTTTGACTTCTTCTTGAAAACTACAAGCCTGATTGCTTTGATACTTGATGTATATGTACTTTGCGTAGACCCAACTTAGATTAGTTTATATTATGTAGATATCTTTACTCTAATTTTGATGAATATTTTTGTAATTTTTGGTAAAAAGTCTGATTGATTTGATATTATACATATAGGCACTCAGGTGAACTTCTCTAAGATTTGTTCATTTTGTGATGATATCTTCAGTTCTTTAATTGAAATGTACATATCAGAGCTATCTCAGCCGAGAGGCTGCTTGTCATATCGAGTGATCTAAAGTTGTCAATTATTACACTATTTAAAATCTTTATCAGGATTGTGAGTTATGTTTGTTGATATGTTCCTTTGAAATGTTGCTTCATAACACATGGCCTGCTGAAAGCCTTCATAGAAATCAATGGAGAAAACAGGCATCAGCAGGCAACACATATAGTGTATGTCTGCACCCATGGCGCAATATTTTCTTATCATGCAATGTATTTGTTTCCTGAGTCATTATATAAACAAATTGGACCCATTTCCAAGATGTATGAAAAGTTCAAAATATCAAGTATACTATTTGTTTTATACTGTAGATTCAGTTTGGGCTTTTAATAATGTCCAGACTGTTATTGGCAATATAGATCAGTGTTAAATGTGTTCAACTAGGGGTAGTATTACATAATATACTGATTCAATGCTGACATACTTTATACATAATCTTGTTTATAATATTAGTGGTATCTTTTCGCCAACAGCTAAAGAAAGAACTGTTGCTAAATTGGTACAAATAATAGAAGATTCCGATGAAGAAATGAAAGAGTGATGTCCGTGCAAACAAAGATATGCCTGTTATATAATTTTATGTGTAATACAACATGCACATATTTTGGATATACCATAATTGATATCAACATGTGTGATGCAAGTCATACCTTGGTTATAT